TTTGACAAAAATCGTAATCCCATTTTAGGCCTTAACAAATCTGTGTTTTGGCCGGCATAAGACAAATAAAGGTCAGAATAAGGACTGTCATACCTCGTTGATAGTTTTGTTTCCAATCTGTTTGCATTCAAACCTGACCATAATTTTATTAAAGAGATTTACTTTAACTTCAAGTAATGTGTATATCTGGTAAATGTTTATCAACAATCAGGGGTCTTCTTTACTTATTTCTAACCTAATTTCAATTTCATTATATATTTGTTCTTTCTTGAGGAGTCTTTGGCCTAATGTTGCCCTTTGAAATCAGCCAAAGGAAGACTTCGAACCCTAGAGAGTTTCTCTGGAGATGTGGACCACTGGCTGGGGAAACCTCTGGAATTCGACTGGGCCTGGAGGTTGCCCACTTTTGCGGGGTACAGTTGCCATCGCTGGCGGTGCAGTTGGGTGCCTCAATTAGTGGCACTCCACAAGCGCAAGCGCGCTGAAAGGGGGGCAAAATGGAAGGGGTTCTGAGGGGGGGACTCGTTCCCGGATTGGGGACCCGTCATCCAACCATTCCACCATTCCGGCAGTCGAGGAGGGGTCTTCCGAGGCAGAAGTGTGTGCCATTTTAGCCGAGAGAGTCGCACACTCGGCGTGTGTGAATGACATGGAAGACAGCGGCAGCGACATATGCACAAAAGCGGCAGCAACAACGACACATGGAGGCGGCATTGTCAACGCTGCAAACTGTCACACGGGCGCAGGGGGCGGGGTTTTTTAGGGGGGGAGACAAGTGGCTCTCAGTCGGGGTCACCACCCAACCCCATCCACCATCCACCCATCCACCCATCCACCATCCACACATTCACATCCACATCCTCCCACAAAACTGCGAATGGAACTGAAACTGGCATGCAAATTACTGTCGAGCATGCTCATCTAAATTAGCAGCGGTATGGGGGTTCTCTAAACGGGGGTTAGAGGGGTTTTCTTTTTTTTTTTTTTTGAGAGGGGGTTACCGGGTCCAAAGAGAGGTTAAAGAGCCGCTGCGATTCGAAGAACACCGGAGGCTCTGCGACCGTAGGGTGGCATATGCATAATTATTTTTATTATTATTTTCTCTGCTTGGTCCCCCCTAAAACCCCGCCCATCGTTGCCGTGCCGCCCCCTCAACCGCCGCCTCTGACCAACCCCATTTGGGCACAGATTGCGACTTCAGCGCCTACAAAACAGCCAACGGTGGGTTCCAAATAAAAAAATATTGCTAAAATAATAAATAAATCATGTCTTTCCTTGAAATTCTACTATCTATAGGAAAACCAGAAAAGATTGGTCATCTATTGTTATAAATATTTAGGAATCTATCGATTTTTGCAATACAATAACACACTATAGATAAAAATCGTTCTATTAAGTGTATATAATACTAAGTTTTTTTTTTTAAATAGAGTAAATAAACAATGTTATTGATCTGAAAATAGTTGAAGTAGAATTTAGCCCACTGTTCGGGGTCTCCATCTTCTCTGGCGGCTCGGAGACCATGGCACCGACGCAATGTGCCGTAAAAATAATTATGGCTGCAACTGCACAATTTTCCTAGCAACCCCCTTTCGGATCCACTTCCCCTCCTCGCCGCCCCTGACTTGCCACACCCCCTTGCAACGCTTGCAACGCTTTCTGCGCCCCTGCGGCAGGAGTTTTCCGCTGGAAAAGCGGCGGGAAAATGCGATTTGGGGGAGTGGCAGACGGTCTTGTCACAAGAATCTAATGTGCAATTTTATTTTACCGCATGCCACGCCCCCTTTCGCCATGAGGAAGCCAAAGCCGAAGCCCCAAAAGGGGCGAGACCTGCCTCGAAATGGAATCAGGCTCACATAATTAACATAAATGCAGTACATCAAATGGGGCTCTTGAAACATTATTGAATGCCTAGCTCTCAAGATTGGCAAAGTCTTTAATATTTTTATGAATATTTAATCAATCATTATGTGATCTTTATTACACAATTAGTTATCAAAAATATTGAGCAACGTTTAAACACCTTTCATATTTCCATTTTATATGTGTTTATCATCAGGAAGGTTTTATTAAATGTTCTTTTAGCCATTACAAATATTTCAAATAATTTAGTAAAATAAAAAGGATTGTGAAATTTATTAGGAAGATAAAAGGGATACCTAATATGTAGAAAATCAATTAGTATTAAACATTTTCAAGCCTATTGCCCAGCTTTAAGTCTTCACAAAATCATTTAAAAAATCCCAGCAAGTATGCTAATTCTCAGCCGACTTTTAGAGGCGGCTTGAATTGGCTTTTGGGCAAATCTGAGTGGTGCTCATTATGGGCTCGATGGGCTTAGGTGGTTGGGTGGTTGGGCTGGTCGTAAAAGGCTTTGCATTAACACCACCCAAACACCCCAAATGCAGCCAACCAAATGTCAAACGAGGCTACTTTTCTCCTCTCTCACTCGCCAATTTTTCAGTTGGACTTTTTTTCCGTTTCGTCGACGTTTTCTTCCCTTGGTTCTTTAATGGGATTTACCTAAATGAGAGCTAATAATGCCCCGGTTGGGTCCGAAAGTGGAAAATATTTCCGGGAGGCTGTAGAATTTAACATGCCATTTGATGTCGAGCTGTTTCTGTTTCTGTTTCGGTTTCGGTTTGTGTTTCAGTGGCTGTGCCTCTGTGCCATGATTATTATTGGCACATTAGCCGGCCGACTCGCAGCCAAGTGCCGAGCCATCCAGGGCCACTCCAGCCACACACTCGACACTCGCCTGGGTCCGGATTCGAGCCCCGGACCCCAGCCCCCTGACCCCTGACCCCTGAGCCCCCATAACCCGCCATCCCAAGCTGCCACTGCAACAAAAATGGCCTCTCAAATACAGAAAATGTTATAATATTCCTATTAACTTACAAATAACTTAGAAAAAACAAGAAATTTAAGATTAATTTTGATTTTATTGGTACACCCTAACAGAGCTTGTTAGGAAAATTACAAAACAACCAAATTTAACTGACTATATTCTATGATAAATACAATTTTTAGAAGAAAAAATATCAAATAATTTACGATTAACTGATGTACAATTAACGATTAAAAAACAAAACATTGAAAACTGATTTTGAATGTATTGATACACCCTAATTTCAGGTGGGATATCCTTACAAAACTTGTTTAATGAAATGCTTTTTCGAAAACACAATTCTGGAAATCTTGTAGTTCTCCGTAATCCCTATTGAAATTACAATATTTTTTTTTCAAATGAGGGTGATATTTGAGAACTTACTTATTTTTAAGATCCCTAGTAAGGTGATATTAATCAACTTAAATATTAGCAAGATCCCTACCTTTATTATGATTAATTTTTCCCAGTGTGGGTGATATTTGCGAGGCGGAGCGGAAGCGTCGAACGGAACCTGCATATGTAAGCAAAAGCCAGCGGCGGTTTTTGGGTCCAACCCTTGGAATCTGGAAACTGGAATCTGGAGGGGATGGATCATAATGGGAGTGGGGGCTTTCGGATGGGGATGGAGGCGAGGACCAGGACGACAATTGTCGCGTCTAGAGGCACTTACGCTAAATTGCATTTCACTTGTGTGTGCGTGCCGGGGAAAAAAGCAAATAGCGGACCGTACTTACAAATGCACTGCACGAAAATGTTTTTGAAAAGTATTCCAAGATTCAAGGCGGGCCTTAATACAGGCCTAGAATTTTTTATATTTTCAACTATATACTTTTAAATGCTGATATTCTGTTTGTTATAAATATAAACTACGTATATACTGGCTTATTCTGCTTTTTACTTTCAATTTACCTTTGCAAAAGTTTTTTTTATGCAACTTGAAAAACTTTTAGTCAATAATGGATTATTATATAAACCGTATCAATAATAATGTTCTTTTTTGAACACTTTTCATTATAAAAATACTTTTAAACACACTTAATACTATCATTTTTCAAGACGTAACAGTCTGATAGAGAACATTTAATGTTGATCAAATTTTTGTTATCATAATTTTTTTTTGGTGCACCATTACCTACAGTGAAGCCTCGATCGCAGCACGCCATGTATGTGTTTTGGGCCAGGTCAAAACAGCTCAACGCGCATCTCATAATTATCTTCGCGCTTCGCTGCCGTTTTGAAGAGCCACAGCCACGGAGACAGTTTAATAATCATCGGAATAGCCACCGAGGGGTTCTGCACCACCATCACCATCACCACTCCATCTTTTCCAGCCTTTTTCAGCTTGTTGCATGTGGCTGCGGTGTCACATGTGTCTCCTATGTGCAGTTCCTATCCCATCACCATACCCATCCCAGTTCCTATCCCAATCCCTATAACAATCCCCCTGACATTTCCCTTTCCGTGTCCGTGACGAAGTCCGTGTCCGGTTTTCATAAGTTGGCCAGACACGCCATCTCCGGGAACCGAGAAATGGGAAAATGGGAACTGGGAACTGGGAAATCATGAGTGTCAGCTGGCGAAAGGTGAACTTTTGACTCCAGAAACCACAGGTCCTGCAACACTTGACTTGTGTTTATATCTGACTAAAGTGCGAAAAGAATTAGTGAGTTATTAGTCACAAGTCACAATAGTAATCCAAAGTACAATAAGATATGTAATCTAAACCTTTTAGATATGTTTGGAATGAAATAGGATTAACAATATTAATATTTAAATACGTTTTATATTTAAAAAAAAACTTTATACCATTATCATTCAGAACTATTTATTTAAAAACTGGCACACAATCCAAACGACTTTATATCTTACATTTAAGGTTTTTTTATTTTTAATATTCAGGTTGACTTGTAAAAATAAATACCCTTTATCTGTTTTAATGAAAACATCTAATCCTTTAAATTCGAAAATAGTACATCCCACTTAAAACTGCAGTTTATAGTTTTGATGCGTAAGAATTGGATTCCAAATGATTTTATTTTAGGATATTAAGATTAAACATAAGTCTTAAAAAAGTTACAGGCTAATCAATCGGGAACAAATTTTTTTACATTTTAATATAAATTTCAAATAGTTATCAACATAGTTCTTTTTTCTTTTAATATAAATGTCAAATTATTTTGATTAGAAGTTTCGCCATTATCATCGCCAGTGCATAATTTATTTGCCAGACCATCGGTTAATAACGAATTCTTTGATATTTGGCCACATCTTACGATACAAATCGAAACATAGATCGATAATTACATCCAGTGCCTCGAAGAAGATGGTCTTAAAATCGGAGAAGTTAAAGGTGCGCAGAAATCGGAAGATCAAGAGTCCCGTAGTCATCATAATTAGGGGCAAAAAGAGCGACAACAGGAACCGGGTTACATGGAGAATTACGAACCAGGATACCAGGAATATGGCAGCATAGCTTATAAAGGTGGTCAAATCATCGGAGGTCGGCAGTTCTTCAATCATGAACTGGTAATCCCTGATGCTCGACCACCAGTCACACTTTCCAGCCATGGTATAATATGTTTAGTTTAGTTCTATCCGTATCCTCGCTTGAAATTCCTCCAAAATATTTGTTACTCCCTACGCCTTCAAACTTCGATTGAGAATGAAAACGGAAACGAAAAATATTAGACCCCTCAAAAGTGTAATTCAAGGCATACTAGATTGTTAAAAATGGGTATTCTTAATGAAAACTTAGTTTTTTTAATCGTTGAGTTTATTGTATACCATGTTTAGGGTTCTATTCCTTCTTTACACATCCTTTGCTGCAGGAAACCACACTTTTCTATAAAGGGCTTTACCATCTTTGAGTTCCCTGACGATTTTTCTCATTTTCCCCGCTCATTTCACAAAAACCAAACAATGAAGAGAAGACAAAAAAAAAAATAAAAGAAGAGACTGTTGTCAATTCATAACTGAAAATGAAACGTTTTCCGCTGGGCTCGTTGTTTGTTTGTTGCTACCATTATTATTGCTACTCTATGCTGCTACTACTATTATTGCTGCTGTTTTGTTTCATGCAACTTTTACCATAATTGCGGGTAGCATTATGACATCGGGAAGCGACAAGCGAAACGCAACCTGAACATAATTACAACAATTTGTTGTCTAGTGTTTGACAACAACAAGGCAAGGAGATGATTGTTGTCATGGTTGAATGATGCAACTGGAAAAGACAGAAAATACAGAAAACGGCAGAAAACAGCAGCTACACATCGGCAGCAAAAGTCACGCACATTGACATTCGCCCGGAGAAACCGAAAAAGATGACACGGTAAGGCAGCCAAGGAAAGGTGGGAAAGCCAGCAGCACCCCTTCGATACACTGGGGGAAAAATATGACTGAAAGTAGCAGTTCAAGTGGGTTTTCAGGGCTTAGTAGCTTGATTTTGCAAAGGCTTATTAAAGATATTAGGTCGTTCCTTTAGTAGTTGAGGCTCTTAATATCCCAATTTGAATTATAAACAGTGTCATAAGATATAAGAACTTAAAATACTAAATTGGTTATAATAAATACTAACAAATACAACTTCTTGGCCTGTTACGTTTTTCACTTTCAAGTATTTTTCTGGTATTTTTGGTATTTTTGTTTATATTTTCTTAGATAAAAGTATTAAAATTACTATCTTAACAAGCAATTTTCATTTCAGTTTCATATAAAACTGAATACATTTAAATTTCAAATCAAATTCGTTAAAATATCTGTAAAGTAAAAATCAGAAAAGACTTGATCCTCAAAAAACGAATACTAAAATATTTATATTCCCTGAAAATTCCCTCTCAGGATATTGAAAAATACTGAATACTCACTATCCTAAGTTCCCAGTGCAATCCTTCCCCGAGGACAGGGAAATACATCTGTGGCAATGTGGCAGCTCCTCTGCGATGCTCGTCACACTTCATTTCGACGCTTTCAACGCTTGTTGCGCCTCCAAATTAATTGCCACAGCCTGTGCAGCGCCAAAATTTAATGCAAAGTTTAGCAAATACAAGGAGGGCGTATTCCTTGGGCCCCATCCCATCGCCACCCTACCGTATCCCTCGGGATCGGGAGCTTCGACTAATTAGCAGGCGAGGCGCAGGCGCCAGAGCTGGATAAAAAAAAATTATAAAATCGGGAATCGTGAATCGGGAGGATATGCGCGCCACATGCCCCATTATCAACAATTGCACATTGCGCCATATTTTACAGTTAATTCTCATCCGCCGCAGCAGCTGCATTTTGGGAATTTTCGGAGGTTTTTATGGGTAGAGTCGATTGTTCCTAGGGGTTCCGAAATGGTTTTAGCAGTAATGAGGAACATTTCAGTTTTTGATTGGCTAGAAGTTGAAAATATATGTTGAAAAAAATTGCATTGAGTAAAGATCATGGTCATTATATTTGATTATGATCTAAGTAATATTTAATGGTTTGAAAAAGCTATGATGTGGAACTCTTAAATAGTGACGAAATATTATTATTGTTTTAATAACTGTGGGTATATTGACTACAATTTGAGATCTATAAAATTATATATATTATTTCACTTTGAAGTTAAAAACGAAATAATTCTTCAAAGAAATACGTCTTACTTTCTATGATTTTATAACAAAGTCTCAAAATAGATATTACCTATAGTTTTAAATGATTAATGTATTAGTAAATAAGCTAAATATTAAAGTTGTCATTGCGTTAATTTCAATCAAAGTTGGTTATAACCCTAACAAGTAACTATAAATATAAATATATTTTGTATTTCAATTTAAAGCTAATAGAAATAGTTTAAATAAAATATATTATAATAAAATAAAAAAAAATAAAATATTTCTTTTAAAATGGTTACCTGAAATCCCTCAAAAAGTTCTTAGTCTCCATAAAAGACCTATATTTCATTCGCTTTTCTCAAATTGATCCTGAAACTTCGCGCCAAAAAGTCAAATGAAATAAAAATCAAGCCAAAGACGAGGCGTGGAAAATGGGAAATGTGGGAGGAGAGCCGACGGAAGAGAGAGAGAGAGGGGGCAGGGAAAAGGAAAAGGACATTCTTGCTTGTGTGACAAAAACGCTGCCTTCGTGTGTGTGAGTGTGTTTCCTTTCTCTCCAATTGCTCCATCTCGCTCCCACACACACACACTCACTCAAAGGCGAGACTCCGCCCCCAAAGCGATCGTGAGTAGGCGAAAAAAACTCACCACAGCTGGGGGAAAAGCGCTCAACTCACTCACTCACACACACACACACTCTCTCTCGTTCCTTCTCTCACCGAGCATGCGCAGCCGTTCGAGCCTTTGCCCTCTCGCTCTGGCACACACGAAACTGTGTAAAATGGTCGCCTTGCAGGGGGCGTTACTCTATGGCCGTCTCGCTTGCCCTAGTGGGCAGGGGAATGAGTGCGAGCGAGAGGGCCTGAGTGGGCAGTGGGTGGTGGGGGGTGGCAGAGAGAAGAAGAGAAGATGCGACGCTGTAAACGAATTTGCATATTTCTGCTGCTTTACGCTTATTGCATATTTTATTCATTACGTTCTGGCGCTTCGGCGGATGAAAAAGCAGGGCGAAAGGCGAAGGAAAGTGTCATAAGGCATTCGGACTACCGTTACTTTACGGCGGCATCTTGCCTCCCTTTCGCTCTTGCCTTTTATCTTTCATCGCTAATGACACCATTTTGTGTCGCGATTTTGTGGCATCTTCCAGATACATTTTATTTAACGAAATCCTTGGGATAACAATGTGGCACCTCTAAATTTTGAAACTATCCTACTCCTTTTTTAGCAATTATTATTATTTTTTTAAATAAATCTTACACCTATTTTTTTTAAAGTAAATTTTTCGGAATATTTTTATTTAAAATAACCTTTATTCCTTTATTTATCCACTTTAGTTTTTTATATATTTTGTAGGTTTCATTAAAAAAGAGGTTCATGGAATATAATGATAATTTCAAGAACAATTCTTATGAAAATTGTATGACATATTTTTTCAGATCTTTCTCTAAATTTTTTTGTAGTTCCCTTGAAATGTTTTAAGCCTAAGAAAACCGCAGTATCCACAGTTTATTTTAAATATTTTCATTTCAATACAACTTTTTAAAAATAGTTTTTTTTTTAAAAAGTTCCAGTTCCTTCAGCTCTACAATTACTTGAAATGATACTGATGTTACTTTCATTTCCTCTTATATTTAATAGATGGGAAAGGATAGAGAGGATTTCCTATTAAATAAATATTTGGAATAAAAATTCCTTATTTTCATAAAATACTGTCGAATAACTGTCATATTTTAAAAACAAATACAGATAACATTAATATACCGCGAAGAATAATAAATCCTAATATATTAAAAGGCTTTCCTATTTGATAGTCTTATTTAAGAAGTAATATCCATTTTTTAACAAACACAAGCCTTATAAAGATGCTGTTTCGGTATCTTAAAGCTATCCCCTGATTCCCTGTTTGGATACCAAAGGACATAAACAATGTTCCCCCGCCAATGGCTTTGTTTTGCTCCTTTTTTTTCCCCGAAATTGGTTCCACGTACATTTGTGAATTTGTTTATTTTCGCTTGGCAGGGACTTAATCTGTGCTCCAGTTTTTCGTAGTCCCCCCAGAAAAAATGGCTACCACACGCACACATTTTTGACTGTTTAACCGTTGTCCTTTTTTTCCTAAAGGAGCCAAAGGATGTGATTCGAATATGCGTGAGTTATCCTGCGTGTTGTTATCCTGGCTCGGGGAAAAAATTGTGGGTTGAAAAACAACACACGAAACCGGTTCTGAGTGAGTACTCAAACACTCAAACACTCAAATAGCACTCAGTCACCATTCACATGCACACAGAAGTACTCAAACGACACTCACAAAACGAGGCGAAACGAGGCGAATTCCTGCCTCGGCCGCCGTCGACGCCGACTGCGCTGCCGTGGTGAGTTCGCCGGGGCAGCGGGCAGAGCGTTGAGCAGCGTGGCGAATACAGTCATTCAAAATTGGAATTCTGTTAGTAAACGTCGACACTTCATATGAAACGAAGAGCGGAGATCACAGCGGAAGGTCCAGGGGTGTAGGTGTGTGTAGGCTCCAAAAGGGGGGTCTTAAGAAAAGCAGAAAAATAGGTGGGTTTTCGACCAGAGGTTAGGTGACATATAGGGCCTGGGGCAAGAAGAAGAGTGTGGGGATTACAAGGAAATGGCATAGAATAAATAAAAAATGTAGGGAAAAAGAGTTGGGTGTCAAAATGCTTGTCATTCGGCTGGGGAAAACCTATGCTGCTAAGCTGGCCTAAGCTTTTTTCTTTAGTTTTTTTTTTGCCCGTGTGTGGTGAACAACATAAGACCGAAAGCCAACAAACCCCCCCTCCCCACACCCACAGCCCGTCGCTGGGGATTCCCCACTTTCGCACTCTGCCGGCGCCGCTGCCGGCGTCGCAGCCGGCGTCTTGCACTTTGGCGCTCGGCGCTTTGGCGTCTTGGCCCGGTTTTTTTTGTTTTTCGGGCTTTTCGGCTTTTTGGATCGTTCTCGGCCAGCAGTCGCCGCCTGTCACACGCTCACGTCAAACGCTTTTGCCGTCGCGTCGCCAGATAAACCAAATGTCTCGCCGTGTTTACGCGTGATTCCCCCTTTTTTGGTCCACGCCAAGCCGATTCGCATCGAACAAACTCTGACCTTAACCGATACGGTTCACCGTCTAACCGTCTAACCGTTAACCGTTTACCCTTAACCGTTTCGCCACCGCCAAGCAGAGATTCAAGAAGAAAAAGATAAAGAAAAAACCCCACAACACCCTGCATATTCTGTTTTGTTTTGTTTTTTTGTGCCGCCCTGCATTTTTCGAA